AGGCATAGGCGGTGGCCCACGTCGTCCATGCCTTACGCCGCCCTTGGTCATAGAAATGATGTAATTTGAATATAAATTATTTATAAATACGTATGTCAAGTTATATTTTTATTACTACGTAAAATATATTTAAGAGTTTACGACCACTGTGATGGCTGAGACGTTGTTGAAACAAAAAAAGTTATGCATTCCATCATGAACATAAACAGTGTCGTAATTCGCCAAGTGCAAATCAGCAAATTCGTAAAATTTTTGTTTCTTTTGAACAATCCGGATAATCGAAAATCCGGATAATGGAGGTCCGGATAATGGAGGTTCTACTGTATTAATATTGGAATATATAATATTATATTTAATAAATTTTTGTTATTTAAGTTAAGCATGTTTAAACACAGATTTGTGGATGTCATTTATATTACACAAATGTCAATTAACAGGGTTTTTATTAATTAATTTAATCTAAATTCAGTTGCGATTCATACCAATAAACAGAAGTAATATCTTACCTGCATGAGCATTGGAATCTAATTTGAACAACAACATTGTCGATGATTTATGTAGTGACATCTAATGACACAAGGCAATCTTGGTGCCACTGACTTCTGCGTTTGTAGTTTTGTCATTGATTGGTTGGGCCATCAACTTAACACAGGAAATATAAGGAGTTGACCATCTGTGTGTCTCTAATCTGTGACCAATTCTTGCCAAGTAGCTCATTTGGCAATAGAGTTATCTTATGGCAACCAGGGTAAATATAGCATTCAAAATTTTGTTTGTAAACCGAATTATTCGAAAAGCGAGGTGTTCAAAACCCAAGGTTTGACTGTATGTCCAACTGTGCAAATGACGTTTGGGGGTATTAAAGCTATCTCAGGCAATTTTGCAATATAAAAGATGATAATATGGCAATAACTACCCAAAATGGAGTAATGTCTCAGTTATGCTTAAAGATGTTGATTAGAAAGAAAGAAAAAAATTCGTTTTTATTTTAAAACTTTTTTTGATACTATTTAATGGGTGAAGTTTTATGTTGGCTCAAAACAAAATACAGTATTCCATTCATTCTTCACATAGAAAATTTGCAAATTAGTAAATTGCATTTAAAAATTTTTTCTGGACTATTAGGGGCAGTCAAATGAAAACAAGACAGATGGGAAAAAAGTAAGTAAACTGTTTATTATTTCAAAACTAATTGCCATAACTGTTAATACATTTATCCCACTGTGAGACAAGACTGTCAATGCCTTCATAGAAAAATGTTTGCAGTTGCCTACAGAACCATGATTGTACCCAGGTGTGCACCTTTTCGTTCAAAGCAAATTGACGGTCACGAATGTCTTTCTTCGGGGCTCCAAAAATATGGAAATTGCATGGGGAGAAATCATGGCTGTTTGGAGGACGTGTATGGACTACGCTGCAGAAGTTCCCAGCGAAACTTCTGCAGCATAGTCAAAACAACCTTGGTAACATGTGGGTGGGCATTATCCTGCAACAGAATGATGCTGTCTGTCTACATTTCCGGGTGTTTGGATTTGATGGCACGCTTCAATTTTTGCAAAGTTTCTATGTACCACTGTGTGGTAATTGTGGCACCGAAATGTGGTAATTGTGGTTCCAGAAAGTCAACAAGCAACGGACTTCCATAGTGATGTTGATGCACATACGACTCACCAACCTCACTTCGAGCATTTGGAAGGTGTCAATTATAAAATAAAGTCAATAGTAATGATAAAAGTTTAATTTATTTCTTGTCACTTATTTGCTGGTTTTGACCTGTAGAATCCTCGAAGTTGGAAGTAGATAGAGTATAGTTTTTACTTGTTTTTAACTGAAAATATTTATTTTTAGTGATTATTGATGTATATCGATCCCATTGATTTCTAATTATAGAATGTATGTATGTTGTTGTCTTAAAGAAATTTTGCATTTTTGAACGTCAAGAAGTTTGATAATAAGCACCCTGTGCTAACAATAGCTCATTTGTTACATCAGTGATGACTTGAATTTTATTTCTATTAATCAATAAACAGTATTATATCAAGTTTATAATTATATCTGTTATTCAAAGATAATGACACATGCTCTTATTAAAGCATTCTTTTAATTTAAAAAATTTTTACAATAAGTTTACATTATACAACACTAAACTTAGTGTTGTATATTTGTTTAATTATTTATATAATTTAATTTGAATTTTTCAAATTATGTTGTATAATTATTAATTGGTTTATAAATTGTTTTGTTTTGTGGGCTAGTGTGCAATAATTTTCACTGAAACTTTAGTCCTGAAAATATTTTGTACTCCTGTAATCCTGTACTTTTGATTTTTCTATTTTTCAAACTTTAGTTGTGAATATGTTCTATAGAAATTTTACTAAAACTTTTTCCATATCAGAAGTAGGTGTCATCTGTAGTTGGTTTTAAAAATTAGATTGATATGTATAATTTTTATAGAGGCAGAATTTTGTATTGTTGTCATAGCTTATTTAACTAGAATTCAGAAGTTTTAAATTGACATCGTTCATATATTTTATACGTTTACTTCAAATAAAGTATTTTTGAATTGTCAATTTATTTTTTATTTTAATTGTACAAAATGTAATGCCATACAGGTAAGAGATGACTATCTTCCAGTTACAACAAAGCAAAATAGAATAAATGCAAGTAACCTTCAAAATTATTATATTTTTATCATCTATACTAATATTATAAAGAGGTAAAGTTTGTAAGTTTGGATGTAGGAGGTAATCTCCAAAACTACTCATCCGATTTCAAGAATTCTTTCATCAATATTTAGAATGGACCTTCATGGTGGACATAGGCTGTATATTATTCCATTAAACATTTATATAAATTAAAAGATATCATCTAGGTAAGCTTTATATTTTTAGTGTCAGCGGGTGGCGATAGGTAACTGCATGGCGCGGTCACGTGCTGGCGAGATACACGGTGCACATGTCCAAACTTGTGATATACAAAATTACATGTCGTGACTGGTTCATCATCACCCAGAGCAAACTACTGAACCTAAAGAGATGAAATTTAGTACACAGTTAGGGTACATCATGAAAATGCATACTAAGAAGAGATTTTTCGAAATTTTCCTGTGGGGGGAGAGGATTAACTCTTAACCTGAAGAACGTCTTCTACTATACTATTTTAGATGTGATTTTTTTTGTTTTTATAGTAACAACTAATGTTGAGAATCTTAGTGAAGTATTGAGGGAGGGTTATTTCTATCAAATTGCAAATTCCATGCAGGTGAAGCCACGGGTAACAGCTAGTTAGTAATAAATTTATTTTTAATAGTACAGTACAAGATAAAAGCAATAAAACACATTAATATTTGTCTGCTTTTTCATTTACAGTAATCTAAATAAAAAAATTACCAGAATAGATTAATTTGTTTATAAATTATTTTCCTATGATGATACATAATAAATTAAGAAATTTGTAAGGGAAAGTTGGTTTTATTTTATGGAACTTATTAATTTTTTTGTTACTAATGATTTAATGAATTTTATTGATGAAAACATAAATACTTTTTATATAAAAATAATAAAAACTTTTGAGTATCTTATTGCTATAATACCGTGGTACACTTTAAACTAAACTACATAATTAATATACCACACTAATGGTTGTATAAATATTTTACAGGTTTTCCTATCTTGAATACAACAATTGATAAATCTAGAACTGGAGGAAAAAAGAATATCCAGTTATGGTGGATCACAGCAGCTGCTGTTGGAGGTTTATTAGTAATTGTTAATATTTTGTTATTTTTTTGTTTTCAAAAAAGAAGGAATTGGAACCAAAGAGCATGTGCAGGTAAAAGATAAGTTAAAATAAAAATTGAAAATATAATAAATGATAGATTAACATATTTTATGTTCTTTAAAGTGAGAAGAGAGAGTTTAATTGCTGGTTCAACTGATAAACCAAAAGAAGTGATAGGTTTACAAAAATTACTTAGTAATAATGGTAGAGCTTTCTTCTTTACTGCCACATTATCACAGGACCACATAACTCTTGAAGATTTCCAGGTTAGTTATAATTTCTATTTTATATATAGCCATTTCTCTTATAATGCAGTAAATGTATTTAAAAAAAATCATTACTCTGTAGAATTTTCTGCAATAAAAGTAACAGAGCTAATAGTGATAAAATTAGGGGCAGAACATTGAAAACCTAGTCTTAGAAAGCATTTTTTTTATTTAAAGCTTTTTTTCAATATGTACAGCTTTCCTATTTTTGCCTACTACTTGATTCTTATAACCAGGATATTTACTCATTTTTTGGGAGGGATGCTGTATTAATACTTTGTGTACTTTTCTTGATAAATCTTGGGATAACACCATTCTACACATTAGTAAACTGGGGTAAGAGAGAAGATACAGTGCATGGGCTTTGTATATTCATGTGCAGATCATTTTTCATGATACCTTAGGAACACAAAGCATATTTATGTTTAAAAAAATTATTTATAGCTAAGATTTTGCATTTGGTGATTTTATTTTCCTATTTATCTTTCATGTATGAATAAATTTGTGCATTAGGAACATGTGCTATAACAAAAAAGACTAAATGTAAAATCAATTTTTATGTATAGAATGACAAAAAAATTATTCTCAGGAAGTTAACAAAATATTTTAACTGAAAACTAAGAAAATAAAAAAGATGAAGTTGCTTCAAATAGTAGTAACACAAAATGAAAAAATTCCACAAAGAAAACTTGCTGGTATATAAGTTCATAAGAAAGGGATACTAAACATCATGCTAATGGAAGAAATACTTATCAACTATTAAATTTGATTTATCATTTGATTGTGTGTGAATCTAATTTGTGATATAAATTTATTTTGATGTTTTGTAATATAAAACTAAACAGAAATTGTCTCGTGTTCAGGAGTCTTTTTTGTAATCCCTTAAGAATAGGGGGTGAGATTTTCCTGCCTAAAACAAGGGAACAAAGGAAACTGTGTATGGTGGGTCAGTACTGACCAGTGTGTGTCTGGTAGAGAGTCAGTGTTATGCTTTGTTGAGTGTCGGGTGCTAGAGTGTTGCATACTGTGTGAAGAAAATAAAAAGTTTTTCTGTTGTGTTACAATTGTTACAAAGAAGTTGTGTACCTGTATTGAGAAGTGTAAACAAGAACATTTAAAACATTTTTCAGCAACAATAAAGCAGAAATTAAATGAAAGAAATCATCAATGATAATTAAGTATACCAAGAATTTGCCTGTTTGAATTGCCTGTAATAAGCTAGCTATAGCCACATGTTTTGATACTACTGTAAACAAATGATGATAAGGGTCTGATCTTGACCTTGGATTTGGTTTCTAAAAATTTGTAAAATATTCTGCTTTAGAATTTTTTAAAATTTATCTGATGTACTTAAATGAAAACACACACACATATATATCTTTTTGTAAATAAATGATGAAAAGGTTTTGATCTTTATATTATAATTGGTTATAAAAAATTAGAAAAATAGTCTTCAGTAGAATTTTTTAAAATTTATTTCCGTATTTTTACTTTTTTTTTTTTATATGAATTTTTGGAAAGATGCGAATGGTATTTGAATGATGAAGAATATCTTAAAAATAACACGTGTTAATGTTTGGTATGGTAAAATAGAATTCCGACAGATGCTAAGTCGAAAATGATTAGAACGTCATTGCTCATATATTTTAATANTTTAGCGCTTTGTCGTCTAGGAATGTATCCCCTGCATTAAGCGGGGTTTTACTATACTTAAAAAGTTTTATTTTGATCATTGTTTTTATTTGCTGTGTATATGCATTAATTTTAATAATTTCACAAAGAAATTTTACTTAAAATTTTTAAGAATACTAAGTTATAACCTTTTGTAAACTGTTGTAGATTTGGATAAAATTTGTTACAGTTAAAAATTATGAAAATAATTTTGAAGAGGTGCAGAATATCAGTTTTCGAACTTAATTCATTTCTAAAATTTGTTTGAAAACCGATTTGAAAACTCAAACAAATTTTCACATACGAAACAATATAAAATGAATTAATCCATTCCTGACCGCCAAAACAAATTCCCCCCCCCCTTTGTAGTTATATTTCATACATAAAAATGCCTAAAAATGCAATATATTACAGTCGACCCCCTATAATTACGGTTCCTATAATTACGATTCCTATAAAACTACGAAAAAATTGTGACTGGTATCCGTAAAAAACAGTAAAAATTCCCTATAATTACCTCAAACGTCATCGGGCAGCTGAACTACTTTCCTGCCGTCCGTAGCGCCAACTACGGAGAGATTTCTATCGTCTGGACAGTATTATATAAATTATATATAAATTAGGTACTGTACATATAATTATATATTAATTATATATAAATTAGGTACTGTATATATAATTATATATTAACTTATTGTAACTTTGTTATAATTAAATATATAATTTCCGCCGTCTAGCGTGGCGCCACGCTACGGAGATTTTTACGCTAACTATCGTCTGTCAGTATGTAAATTAGGTACCGTAAGTCTAATACAGTACTGTAATTTTATACATTTCTTGTGAAAGAAACATTTCTTATTCAACGGCGATTAAAATTATTTATATTAATGATGTCTCCGAAGTTC